CACTAAAAGGAACATAAAAGCAATCTTCACTAAACACTGATTTATAAATAGCCTTCACTCTCTTTATGACAGCTATCATTTTAAAATTTGGAGCTTTCAGAACTGGAAGAAAAGAAGCAATCTAGAAAGGCAGATACTAACACAAAGTGGGGCCTATCTGTCTACACATTTGCCTTCCAACCTAAAACATTCTCAACATTGCCTGAAATTTATTTTCTCTGTTACAATGACTAAAATTCTATTACAGATTGATCTGGGTTTCAATGTTTTTTTCTTAAAAATATAAACCCATTAACAGTGCAATAGGGTTGGTGTTCTTTCCTACCTTAGAATGAATTATTACAGTGTAATCTAATCACTTTTCTATTTTGTTGAGACCAGTCACAATGAAAACACAGAAATTTTGAAGTAGGTGAGCATAATTTCATAGGCACTTTGAGCAACAGAGACCCTCAAAGTGCTGATCCATTGAGCCCTATGGTCCCCCAGTGTAAGTACAGAACTACTCTAAGTAGGGGGGCGGGTGGGTGTGGGGGTGAGAGGACAGGAATACAAAGACAACCTTAGACTATTTCAGAATTTCCTGCAGGACCTGGCTCATATCAGGGACACTGAGGAGACCTTATTCAATGAGTGTCCCTGCATTGGGACACTGCTGCATTAGCTCTCATACTCTCAAGTCTTTAAACTCCTCTTCTCGTCAATGCCTGCTTTATAAAAAGAACCAAACTGTTGCCTTAAAAAACATATATCGTGATATATCAGAGAAATTTTTTTATTTCAGGCAGCCTTTAAAGTAAAAGCCTCTATAGTTCAATTAACATATGCTAAGAGTCTTGTTAAAACCATACTGATCCTTCTTACTACATTCATGGACTTCTAGAGGCCTGAGAACTCAGACTGGGGACCACTGCACCAGGTAATACTGTCTTGACAATTCCAGCTAAAAACTCCAAGTCATACTTTTATACAACAAATATCTTTAAAGGTTTTAGATCACTAATTGACCATAATAATTTAAGCCTTTTCTGCAAGCTTACTGAAATCTCATAGAGAAATAGCATTAAAATGGACTCCTCTACCCCCACCCATTCTGCCTCATATCACAGATTTCTCCTTTTGTTCCACTCTGTCTTGTTCATACTTAACCCTAGCTTTAATGTAGTTTTAAAGCTCTGATAGCCCAGAATAAATACTGTTCTTAAAACTACTTTCTATTATTAAATATTGAGGAATAAAAAAAATTCTCAACAGGTAGCAATTAAGAACAGCAAACCTCTCTTTATCCATTAAAAGAATTCTTAGATTTTGAATAATATTTTCCTACTTTCTTTTTTT